TTGTTTAATTGTAGCTCTTGTTTCAAACTTGACAGAAGCAAATATTGATATAAAAAATTTAAAGTGAAAAATCATCCAATTTCCGAATGAATTACGTTAAGTGAGGTTTTGCGAAAACAGAAATTGCAGTATGAATTTGTAAATGGACAATCAATCAATCAAAGACGGCTATAAAACAGCAAAAATTATGCCAAAAGTATTAACAATGTCTAAGATATTTGCGTTTTTTTAACTTTGACAGTAATTGCTCAATTGTTTAATTGTAGCTCTTGTTTCAAACTTGACAGAAGCAAATTTCGATATAAAAAATTTACGTGAAAAATCATCCAATTTCTAGACGAATTACGTTAAGTGAGGTTTTGCGAAAACAGAAATTACAGTATGAATTTGTAACTGGACAATCAATCAATCAAAGACGCCTATAAAACAGCGAAAATTATGCCAAAAGTATTAACAATGTCTAAGTAATCGCTCAATTGTTTAATTCATGTAATGTTAATTGTTTCAAACTTGACAGAAGCAAATTTTGATATAAAAAATTTACGTGAAAGATCATCCAATTTTTAGATGAATTACGTTAAGTGAGGTTTTGCGAAAACAGAAATTGCAGTATGAATTTGTAACTAGACAATCAATCAATCAAATCACTGCTATAAAACAGCGAAAATTTTGCCAAAAGTATTCACAATGTCTAAGATATTTGCGTTTTTTAACTTTGACAGTGATTGCTCAATTGTTTAATTGTAGCTCTTGTTTCAAACTTGACAGAAGCAAATTTTGATATAAAAAATTTACGTGAAAAATCATCCAATTTCTAGATGAATTACGTTAAGTGCGGTTTTGCGAAAACAGAAATTGCAGTATGAATTTGTAACTGGACAATCAATCAATCAATCAAATCACTGCTATAAAACAGCGAAAATTATGCCAAAACTATTCACAATGTCTAAGATATTTGCGTTTTTGCTATTGGTAGCAACAACCAATTGCTACTTGGATCCTCAATTGATCAAAGACTATTTCCAAGAGAAATCGGTTAAAACAGCGCAAATTTACAGTTGTGCTCCAAAAATTGGTAAAAAGTAAATTAAATACGTTTAAAAATTAATTAATTTTTTTAAATTAAAGAACGTTTAAAGTTGTTGAAAACTTTATCCGAAGAACTTTACATCACGATGGAAGTAAAACCAATTTCTTCGGGATGTTTGATTGGAGCGCAAATGATTAAACGCACGGGTATTTTCGTGGACGGAGATTGCGAAAACGTTGGCGATTTTTTCAAAAACGTTTGTAAAACTTTAATTTGAAAACAAATTTGTTAATATTTTTTTTTCTTTTAAAGTGTGATTATTTCGATTCGCAACATGATTGGTTGATTACAGTTTCCGAAGCGCTAGAAACGAACCTTTTGCGTACATTTTCTAAACTTAATTTGAATATAAACAGCGATTTGCAGTACGTGAAAAGATTGGAAAATGGTTCGAAAGCAATTTTCGATGTTTACAGTCCGTCTATTAAGAAAGGTTCGGCTTTAAACGTAACTCAAATTGGATTATTTCAAGCTGAAGTTAAGTTTACGAAGAGACGCGTTAATTTGTATGAAGATCGTAAAGATTTTGGTGGATTGAAATTTCGATCCATTGTTGTGGTAATTGGAAATAATTGTGTTTGCAATTAGTGTAAATTCAAGGATTTTTTTGTTTGTTTCAGTTGCCTGAAAAATTTGAAGGAACCGCTGAAGATCACGTGAGAAGCGACGCAAGGGTGCAGGTCAATCATTTCAATCGTTTGCACAGCTTACTCAATATTTACTGTGGGGAATTTTACAATTTCACGTGAGTTGTGTTGCCTAATTTAAGAAACGCCAACTTTATATTATTTCAGTATTGACATAGAAAGCACGGATTCGTGGGGATATAAAATGCCTAACGGCAGTTACGACGGTGTAGTTGGTGGCCTACAACGACACTCCATAGATTTCGGTGGATCTCCGATTTTCCTCGTCAAAGAGCGCTTCAGTATATTGGACTATGGCAGAAGAACTTGGCGTTTGAGGAAAGTTCAAATTATTTCAAAAAAAATTGTTATATTTTTGTTTTTGTTCATAATATCTAGATCGGCGTTTGTTTTCCGACACCCTAAACGCAAAGCCGCCTTCGAAGTGTTTCTAAGACCTTTGCAGAAGTTCGTCTGGGTCACCATTGTCTTTGCTATCGTCGTCGTCGCTCTGATCCTCAAGTTCGTGGTGAAGTTCGAAGCGCAGATCCGTGGGAACACGAGGAATCGCGAGATCGAGTCGACTTGGAGCTCAATGCTGCTCATGATCTTAGGAGCCTTGTGTCAGCAAGGTTGTCGAATTGTCAAAAAAAAAAAATGAAGAGATTTTAAGAAACTTTGTTGCTGTTTTTACAGGTTGTTCGAACATTCCTGCGTTCATTTCAGGTCGCATCGTCACGATCTTCGTCTTCGTCTTCTCGGTGCTACTCTACCAATTCTATTCGGGAAGTATAGTTTCCTTTCTGCTGATGCAACCAGCGAAAACCATGAACACCATAAGGGATTTAGCGTTCAGCGATCTTCGTATGGGATGCGAAGATATTTTGTACACAAGGCAATATTTCAAAGTAATAAACTGTCGGGATTTGTCGGTTTTTTGTCGATTAATATACATGTTTGTTTCTTGTTTTCAGCAATTGTTTCAGAACAAGGAGATTGCTAGGATGACGAAGCGAACGTACAAAGCTAACGCTCCATTCTATTTACACCCAGAATTAGGTTTGGAGTTGGTCTCGCGCGGAGGATTCGCGTATCACGTCGATTTGGCCACAGCTTATTCCATCATCGAGAAGACTTTTCAAGAATCCGCCATCTGCGAACTCGAGGAAATCCCGTTCTTCGAAGCCAGACCGGTGATGTCCTCTTTTCCCAAAGGATCACCCTTCAGAGACGCGTTCAACTACTGGTAACTGAATGAAGATGAATTCTTAAGAATACTCTTGTTTCTGTTGCAGTTTTCAGAAGATGGCCGAACGCGGCATCTTCAACAGACAGACGAAACACTACCACGCGAGGAAACCCGACTGCATTCGTTCCAATGCACCCACATCTCCGGTGGGAATCGACGAATTCTATCCAGCCATGGTCATCCTATCAATCGGAGTGTCCTTGAGTTTAACAGTCTTGATTTTAGAACAAATCGTTCACATTCACACCAGAAAGCAGAACAAGAAAAAACTGTTTCAGTTCACTAATTAACAAAAATCTAGAACTATTATAACTTACCCTAATTAATAAGTAAGACAAGTAATATTCGATAGAAAAAAAACTATGTTTTATGGAGATATTTGTATGCTAGATGAAGAAAAATAAGTTAACTCAAAATATATTGCCAAAAAAATAACATTATTTTTGAGTCTGAACATTGTCTACTTAACTTGATTTATATTCAAGTATTTGATTAATTGTTGTCTTTGAAGTAAGATTCAAGTTATTTTTATAGATTTAAGTACAATTTTTGCATTCATTGTGTATTCAAATAAGATTTTACATGAATAATTAGATTTTGTTATTTAACTATAAAATCTAGGGGAAAAGTTTTAAAAATAGGGAAAAAAAAATGTAGAATTTTATCCTAAGAAAACACGTTCTTTCTACCTGAGAAAAGACCAGAACAATAAACGTGTGAAAAGAAAAACCTCTTAAAGATTTTGTTGAAATTTGTCTGTAAACGTGTTTACATTGAGTTTTAAGAAAATAACAATACGTAATAATAAAAATTTGATTAAATTTTTGTAGAAAAAAAAACCCTTAATGTGTTCAAATATTTAGTCGAAACAAAACAAAAATTGTCCAATTGTCGGAAAATGACAAGATATAATGATTTTTGTTTAATTCCAAGAAGACTTGTTTTAGTTACAACAATAACAAAAAAAAATCTGTTGCTCTTCGAGAGAAGATGTGGTGTGTGTGTGGATGATGAAGAAGAGGAGAGGGAACCGGAGGAATGCGAGTTAAAAGTACGTGTCGTACTTAAGTCGGGCTCTTTCGGCGCGAAGCGCTTGATGATAGTCGCATGCAAGTAAAAATAGAAGCAGTTTCTTCACGAGCGCACGGATAGAGAGAGTAACGTACGAGGAACCACTCTTAACATTACAGAAGACAAACAGAAACTAATAGGCTTTAGACCACAAAATCAAAAAAAACACAAACACACAAGAGTCGTCGTCCGGGTTACGTGCATCGAAATATGTAAATAGTTGCGCGTCGTCGAGTGTTTTTTTTTTGTTGCTACTGCTGCTGTAATTTTGTTTAATTCCAAGGTAAGTGTGATTTTCAATTAAAATCGACTTAAGTAAGGAATTTTTTTTAAGTAAATAAACTAATTCAATCGAAATTTTCCATGCTCATAACTCGACGAGATGCAACGAATGAAAATATAAGAAAAAGAAGTGTGGGTAATAAAATTGGAATAAATAAATTTAGAAACTATTTCCAGACAGTCGAGAACTAAATTTACACTTTGAAAAGTACGTTTTCATTCACGTGTATAGTTTTTTTTTTTAAAACTTTTGTCGATCGTTTGGTTACGTGCAATTTTTTTTTTTTTCAAAGAAAACACATCAAAGACGCCTCTTGTGTCAATAAATGTCATCGACGGATTTGAAAACAAAATCGTCGTCGTTCATCAAATTTAACAAAAAAACAGAAATATAAACAAAAAAATGTTGTTGATTTGTTGCAAAGTGCGAAGTGTAAGCAAATTGTAATTATCGAGACGGAAAAATAACCAAGTTTATTTCCATTACAACTCTAATTAAGATAGTTTTCAATTATTTTTTCTTCATTAAGTTTATTTCAATGTTAACTAACGAAAAAATAAATGAAAGAAAGTTTTTTGTTTTGTTTGAAATTATTGATTTATTTGTTGCTATGTGATCAAAAACAAACATTGAAATATTCAAATAAATCAACAATGCTGTGAAAATATATTTTTTTTATATAAAATTACGTTTTTCTGTATCTAAATTTCATGAGCAAAATCTGTCGTTTTTTTTTGTTACTTTTTGTTGCTACTTAATTGTATTTGTTTTTAATTATTTTTCATTTCATTCAAACCTCTGGGCAAATCGCAATGCACAATGCGTGTGTTTGTTGTTGTTGCCCAGGAAACAACAGGAAAAAAAAACAACAACAGTTCACCAGCCAAAGCCGACGTCGAAAGTAAAAAAAAAAACAAAACCGAAATAACAACGGAACTGTTGATTTTGTTATCGCCCGGAAACGTGCAAAATTAAGTAACCGAAACAAAAGTAAAATGACATAATTTTCGCTTGTTCTTATTTTCCATTCGTATTTGGTAAAAAAGTTGAGCGAATACTTCGAATTCATTACCACTTTGTTATTAATATTATTATTATTATTTTTTTTTCATTCGCAGCGTAAATATTATTCAGAAAGAAAAAAGGAAAATAAAATGCGAACAACAACTGTCGTCTGGTTTCGCTCATTAACAATGCTCGATAAGAAATTTAATTTAATTAAACAAAAAAAAACACACACAAGAATCATTCGTTATTTATAATTGATGATGAGCAAAGTTAAGCATTGTGTGTAATTTTGGATTGGTGATCTCAGACAATTAGTAATGTGTGTTATCTATGGTTTTAAAATTTTTCACATTGTATATGGAAAAAGAGAAAAAAATACTTTCAATTCTGTTTGCATTTATTATTGCTAAACCATTTAAATCGTTGAATAAACGTGCGGTTTTTCCTTGAAAAGTTAATTATTTATTCAATAAAAAACCTTAACTTGTTTTTTTTTTTGCACATAATTATTAGATTAAAAACGTGACTACCAATCATTACTTCACTGATAACAACAATACAGAGTTTATCTACGGAATTCCCTAAATCGATCGATCGATCGATAGTCAAGATAATTTATAACAATATTAACGAATCTGTAAATTACGTAAGAAAAATAAGTAGTAATCCATGGATAATTGACAGTTTCTATGGATATCAATAAACAGGTGATTTTGACGTATCTCTATGATAGGTATCAAAAGATAATTGACAGTTGCTATAGATATGAATAATTAGATGATTTTGACATGTGTCAAATTATATATTTGAGTTATCAAAGATAAATTGACAGTTCCAATGGATATTATTTGGACATATCAGTTGATATATGACATCTGTCAAATTTGCTTATGGTAAACCAATAATATTTTTGTCTTCAACAATCAAGTAAAATGTTTTGCAAAATAAATTATGATAATTCGAGATGTTCTTAATAACAGCAATTCAAAACGAAAAACCGGTAATGTTAAACAGTTTGAAAATTAGCATTTGCGTTTTTTTTTCATCTTTCCTCGATCAATTGATTATTACTTCTTTTCCATCTACAATCTATTTGTTATTCAATTTTGTCTTTTTCTCTCCGTGCAGAACTGTCGGATTAAGTCCAAGGTGAGAGCGGTCCATTGAAATCGGGGCAATTTTCATTTCCACTCGAACGTAACCGATTTACAATTTACTTTCATAACACATTAGATATAATTGTCGGAACAATCGTTTGTGCAAATTTAATTCCGCTCTTTATTTTTCACTATTATATAATTACGGTTGCTGTTTTTAATTCATGATCACACAGCTATTCAATTGACTGTTTCCATGGTTACCATGACGTTTAATTGATAATTGATTATGACAAATGTCATCACTTTATTTGACATTTGACAGATGTCACTAAAACTCTATTGATAATGACTGTATATGACATTTCTGAAACTCTATTGACAGTTGTTATGGATACAATCTATGGACGATACCAATTTACAGAATGTTTCAGGCACGCAATTGCTCGAATTACGTCAAACCGCTCCGATCTAGTTGATTTTTTTTTCCCTATTCATCGACAACGGAGTTAATTTCCAAAACAAAACTGCGGGAAACCGAAACCAATTACTGCATATACACACACACGTGTGTATATGTCTATATGCATGTACGCGTATGATTTGTAATTTATGCGGTTAGTCCAAGGTCCAACTGGTAATAAGTAGCAACCTCATCGCGCCTGTTGTAGGATGCATCAATAATAAACTTTCGTCGATATTATCCATACAATTCCCCCCAATCCGACGAGAAAAACAAAAAACTGTCGTAAAACAAAAAAAAATCTTGTTTTTGGTTGATCAAGCGACAGCTTTGTCGGTCACGGGTCCATCAACCTCTTTGGAGTGAGAAGAGGAAGCAAAGCAGAGACGCAGACACCAGCATTCTACATGTTCTCGATCCAATTTACAGCGACGAAAGTCTACTCGCTGTTTTTTTTTATTGTGTGTCCTCCGTTTAACCCAATTGTCTGAATACCGACAATGAGACCGAATTGTCGGTGAAACCGTAACCTTGTTTAACTTAATTTTTCAAATATCAACAGACTTTTGCCGGTAAAACTATGACAACCATTGAAATAATTGAAAGAAGTTTATGTAATTTGAAAACAATCAAGCAAACATAAAACAAATAAACGAAGTTAAAACGATGCTTTTTTTTTACGTAATTTCTTCGTTAAATGACTCAACAAAACATTGTTTTGACCGGAATTCCGGTGATAGGAAATCTCATTTAAATTCCCCTTTTCCACGATTATCAAACAAACAAAAAAATGTACCAGTATTACATGTTTATAGTTGGATTATTTAATGAGTTTCAAATGTAATTCCAATGATCACACTGAGCACGTGCAGTCAATATTGTAATTGTAAACTGAGAGAAAACGCATGTCGCCAATTACACGCTTTTGAAATTGATCGTCGATAAAAAACTTATTTTCCATTTCGCACGCTTTGCATGTGAGCGAAAATAACTGGATTATTATTTAAAAAAGATCATCGCAAATTCGAATCCTCCTGCAACCTGTTATGCAACTTGCCAAGTGTAAATATTTAAAATTCGAATGACGTTCACGGTTTTCTCATTTCGTTACTGAATCTATCTATCTATATAAGTAGTCTTAATTTCGTCGGAACGTCGAAAACAATATAAATAAATAGCGATCGAAGGTTTCTTTCTTTATTTTTACGTAATCGATTTCAACTGTTTGCCGTTTCCATTTACGTGCTTCGATTTTGTTTTCGATTCGTGTTGAGCAACATCCTCAACTTCTTCGTTCTGGATTAAAGGTTATCGTTATTTCGTTTGTTCAATTCGTTGCGAAACGTCAAAACTTACGCACGAGAATGCATCTGTCTAATTTTACAGTCTCTTATTCATACTTGAAATTGAATTTATTTTTCTACACTGATGACATCTTGAAACGTCAAAAATGACAGTTTTCTATTCATATTCTTGACACTTGAAATGACATCTGAAAAGTCAGTTTCTTATTCATACTTGAAATTGAATTTATTTTTCTACACTGATGACATCTTGAACGTCAAAAATGACAGTTTTCTATTCATATTCTTGACACTTGAAATGACATCTGAAAAGCCAAGATTGACAGTTTCTTATTCATACTTGAAACGTGACTAAATTGAATTTATTTGTCTATACTAATGACATCTTGAAATGTCAAAATCGACAGTTTTTTATTCGTACTTAAACCGTGACTAAATTATTATCTTTTGCAGATAAATAGGTAAAGAACTGTTTTTATATCAAGTTTGCGATTTTTTATTATCATATTTATATTCTTGACACTTGAAATTACATCTTGAAAAATCAAGATTGACAGTTTCTTATTCATATTTAAAACGTGACTAAATTGAATTTATTTTTCTATACTAATGACATCTTGAAATGTCAAAATTGACAGTTTTCTATTCGTACTTAAACCGTGACTAAATGATTATCTTTTACAGATAAATAGGTAAAGAACTGTTTTTATATCAAGTTTGCGATTTTTTATTATCAT